TCTTGCCATCCCCTTTCATTGCCCTGACCCAACCCCACTGGACCTTGATGCTGCGAGGAGTGGTCTCTTGGGCAAGCCAGGCTGGACAGGCACTTGGCCCTCCTGGCCATGTGTTTGGATTGTGTAAGAGCACTCGCTCCCCTTCCTCTACCAGAGAGAGGTTGTTTCTCCCAATCCTAGGGGGCCAGCTTCCACGCCATAATGCTTTGGCAAGCGGGGCACTTGGCATCGGGACCCAATACCAGGAAGCACCAAAGCCCCTCACCACACCCCATTCTCCCCAGGGACCCCAAGTGGGCAACTGCTGTGGCAGTGGGTCTGGCCCAGACTTGACACTGCCAGCCTCCTCCCTGTAATGGGCACCAGCTCTACCTCCCCCAGCAGGGCAATGCTCTGGCTTTTCTCGGCCCACCACCATCTGTCCCCCTAGGCTTCTCAGGGGCCAGCTCAGTCTGGGCTACCCTTTCCCCAGTCCTCGTTCCCACACAGGTGACAGGTCCAAGCAGATAGCGTCTCTCTGGGAATGGTTGGATGCTGCCTTATCCCTCCTTCCAGACCCGCCCGGTCCCCCCGGCCCCCGCTCCCCGCTCTTCCCAACCCCCACGGCGCCCTGGGTCGACCTCCTTGACCTTCCCACCACCGCCTCCCCTGTTGCCCCAAGCCCCTGGGGGAAACATTTGGAGGACCGGTCGAGACGTGGACACGGGACTTGGGAGTGGGGTGGACATCTGGGGACCACATCACAACCCGGCCTCATGCCGCTTCACGGTGAGCTGGACGCAGGGGGATAGGGGGTGACATCTCCCAGGGAGCGCTCACACGCATCCCGCAGGGTTGGGAGAGGAGGGTCCTGGTGGGGAGCGAAATTGCCCAGAGCCCAGGTCATTGTGAGACTCTTTCTCCGCCCCTACTTCTGTCCTTGCAGTCAGCGTCACCGTGGGGGGCAAGCAGTACCTCCTGGGACTCTATGACACAGCTGGACAGGTGAGTGTCTTGGCCTCTGGCCGACAGCCCTCCTCCGTTTCCCCAATTCCGTGTGGCTGTGAAGGGCCTTCGGAAACTGAAGTGTCTAGGTAGGAGGGTGTGTCTGCGAGGGGCTCCCTCTGGGTCAGGTCTTTATTTCTTTTATCAAGTCAGCAAATTAGGAAAACCAACAAACCCAGCTAAGCCCACCCATGTGAACCCCTGGGTTGTGAAAGTTTTTGCCTGTATGGGTCGATCTGTGTGGCGCCTGGTGTGTGGGTCCCAACTCCTGTTGCAAAGTGGCAGCGGCCAATCATGAAGCGCCCTTATTTTTAGTTGCAGATGACCAGGTCTCCCCTCACAGCCTTTGTCTGCTCCCTCATTGGTGAGTCGTCTGCCTGCCCGAGGAGCCTGATTGGTGGGAAATGGCATCATCTAATATGATGGGAAGGCATTTGGTCCTCCTTATGTTTATTACAACATCATTGCTCTCTGGGACTCAAGTCCCTGAAAACGTAATTTGTGGTGTCACTTGAGGACCACAGGGAAAAAAGAAAAGAAACAACAACGATCCAGCCACTCCCTGGGGTGGGTGTGGGGAGGAAAGGTTAGGAGTTCAGTGTGAGTTCTTGGAGGAAGAGGTTTTTTTGTGAAGGCCAAGTGACTGGGTTTTCTCTGGGAGAGATTATTGTACAGAAAGAAAACCCACACTTCTCCCTGCAGCCTCTGACTGGTGTTTTTGCAAATCAGAGGTGACCAGGCTGTGCCCCTTAAGGTTTAAGGTTTTCTTTCTGTCTCCCTCTCTCAGCTCTACCCTCTCCCAGACCCACTTTTGCTCTGGGGCTAAGATGATTGTGGGTGATGAGGTTTTGCAGAATCCAGCACTGTGATTAAATCTGAAGACTCAGGCAGATGTTTCCATATGTGATACAGACTATGAGAAGCTGGAGGGTTTAGAGAGTGTTTGGGGGAAGTCCAGTAGTAGAGTTTCCTTATCTGTAAAATGGGGTTTAAAAAAAATAAGACCATCCCCCTGTGCAGATACTGTATGCCTAATGCTTAGCCCTGAGCCAGACCCTTACCAGGTGCTCAATAAAGGGAATGCTATTCTTTATAGCTCGTCTAGGTTTGGATTTCAGAACTGTGGTATTAGGCTAGATTCTGTGTTGGATTCTGAAAAATGTCTTGTTGCAGGGAAGAGCCTGATGTGGGCTCTGGTTTCTAAACTGTTAAGTTAGAGGAACATCTGGGGATAAAGAATTGCTGCTATTCAAGTACCTGAGGCCACTCCCTCTCACCAAACTGGCCCAGGTCAGTACAGCCAGTTCTCAGCTTTCCAGGGCCCCTTTTGATGACCTGTCTTGTAGTCCTTCCTCCTCTACCTTCATCAGAAGTTGTGGAGGACCAGAGGAAGAACTCAGTCAATCAGATAAAACCAACTTTTAAGTAGTATACTTGATAAACAAGAGGTTGACATTATTGGTTAAAAGGAGGATTTTTAAAAATTGTCTAATTTTAACTTCTGTCACTACCTCCTTCATGCACCCTGTTTAACAGGACGTGTAAATGTCAGAGTTGTTCTGTGTACATTCAAACCCAACTAATATTTACTGAGCTCCTTCTACGTATCAGGCATGGGGCAGCCACATGCAAATATTACCTTACTTACTCCATAAAACAACCCTGTGAGATGAGGAAACAGGCTCAGAGAAGCTACGTTGCTTGCCTAAGGTCATGCCGCTACTGAGGGGTGTTGCTGGGATTAGGACATGGATCTGAATCTGCCCCAGTCTGAGGTGGCTATACACGTAGGAAGTCATGGGAAGTGCTGAGATGCCACCAGGTTGATCTGATTGTTTGCGTGCCCATACATGTGGTACCTGGAATCTTCACAGCCGTTCTCTGAGTGGGGGTCATAGCCACCTCTACAGAGCAAAGAACTTAAATCGCGTGTCTCCTGAAGTTGAGCCTACTCACAAAAGCAGAACTTCCCATATGTCATCATAATTGCTCTTTCCAGTGTAGGATTGTGAGATCTATACCAAACGGGATCAACCTATTAGTACAGCTTGAATATTACTGTTTTTACCCAGTGGTGGGACACCTACTCTGTTGGCCAACATGTGTGTTAGGCCCCCTTGGTGTTTCTCCCAGTGCCTAAGACTTTTGTTTTGGGTGGAAGTTAGTGATAATTCATCTTTAGCATTTGAGGGTTTATTACCTTTTTTATTTTTATTTTTTGGGCAGCTGGCCAGTCTGGGGAGAGGGTTTATTACTAATAAGCAAACTTAGCAACAGTGAAACCAAATGACAAGTGCCCACCTTGTACCTAGAAATATGCTAAACATCTGGGGAGTGCAAAAGAATACGTGTAAGATAGGAACCTGCCATGGCTGATGTCAGCATAGGCAGAAGAGTCTGGATCAGATGCCTGTTCATGTAGGAGATTCTTGTATTGTACTCGGTTATTAAGACCCCATGCCTCTGTGAATTGGTATCAGATTCATCTTACAATAATAATAATGATAAAAACCCATACACACATATACTTATGTATGTACATTTTTATGCTTGATGGGCAGCAGAGAAAAGTCCATGGGCTTTGGAATCAAACAGGCTTGGGCTCAGATTTCCACCTTGCTATACTAGTCACTAGCTAAGTTATTTACCTTCTTTGTGATTTAGTAAAAATGTAGATAATGAGAATCTACATTGTAGGATTGTAGACAGGCTTAAATCCTTTAACATATGTAAAAGCAGCTGTTCTTCATTCATAGTAGGTATGTAATAAATATTACAAGAAGTTATTGTACTCCTCTATGGGCAGTGTTGTGGAGTGAAGGGGTCACAGGTGGATGAGGACAGTATATTATGCTAGGTGTTGACAGAAATTCCATTAGAATGCCAGATCCTAGAAGCTTTTCAGCAGAGCAGTCTGGGGCCAGCTCTGCACTTCATGATTCCCACAGTCCCCATCACTGGACCCGTATGGTCACACGTCCAGTGCTTCCTGCTATAAATGTCCTGTCATGTCAGATGGTTTTCTTTCTTACCAGAGTCTGCATGCCTATTGATGTAAGAGAAATCTCTAGGAGTTCAGTGTAGAATTTGAGAAACAAGTGGGGTATGGAGGCTTCAGTTGGTTCTGCTTCCAGAGAGGTAAGATGGGAAGAGGAAGAAGCTCCCAGCACTGGAAAGCAGTTACCTTCTCTCCAAAATGTTCGCCCCTGCAAGTGGGCACGTACTGCGTTTGAATAACAGCAACGTCGCCTCCCTCAGGGTGGAACCCCTAGCCTCCTTGCTTGCTCTTGGACTCCTTTTAACCACAATCCAGTTCACAGGCACAGGCCTCATTTGCCCAATTTACATATTAGGGAATCTCCCGTCAAGGGACGATTGATGACCCTTTGCCACAGCTTGAGCAGGCTGCTTTCCACTTGACCTCTGCTGCTGTTAGCAGTAACCACAATCCAGTTCACAGGCACAGGCCTCATTTGCCCAATTTACATATTAGGGAATCTCCCGTCAAGGGACGATTGTAGTAGATGACCCTTTGCCACAGCTTGAGCAGGCTGCTTTCCACTTGACCTCTGCTGCTGTTAGCAGAGAGAGAGAGAGAGAAAGATGAGTGTGTTGGACTCAGTCCCCATCATGTGCTCTGCCTGGGGACATCCCTCAACATCCCCAGCACGCTCACTAGCATCACTGCCAAAGGGAAGCCCTCGCCTCTCTTGGCCAAGCCCTGGGTGGTCCAAGAGCAGCAGTGACATTTTGACTGCCAGGCTTTTTAGAGTGGAGGTTGATGGAGGGCGCCTTCCTCCTTACTGGGGGCCTTTTGGGGGAAGGGGGCAGGGTTTGGCTTCCTGCCTGGGCCTATGTGGAGCTTCTGCTTTCTCATCCGGCTTTTGGGAAGCCCCGTTGTCTGCTCAGGGAGGGACTAGAGAGGTGAATTTTCCCTTCTGCCTCTGCCCTGTTTGGGGCGAAGGGGAAGTGGGAAGGGTTCTCCCTGTCTGTCCAGACAAGCTGGTGGGGTTCTGCCTGGCAAGCTGCTCTCTAGCTGCAGGCTCCAGGCTGATCTCTTAATCCTTGGCAGGAAGGCAGAACTTGATACCCTGAAGAGAGAAGGACTGGAGCCCAGTTTATCCCAAGTCACAGATACCCACACTCAGGAGGATGTGTGTTGGGGGTGAGTTTGGTATCCCTAGAGCTCCAGATTTAGCCACTGTCTCAATGTGTGGAAGTCCATGTGTATGCTTTTGAGTGTGCAGTTGCTGTGTCTATTAACTTAAACACACAAGGTCAGGGTTGCAAACACGAAAGCTATAAATATCCTTTCCTCCGGTGTCCCCCGGGGTTGCTTTTTCAATAAGTGAGATTTGTTTCACATGCCATAGCCCAGCAGCTGCGGCTGCCCTGCAAGCCCTCCGGGTGCCCAGGGAGGCACTGCCCCTTCCGAAGGGAATCTCCACCAGAGGCGGTCTCAGCATGCCCCGCCTTCTGCGTTTCCTGGCGCAGCACCCAAGGGCTTAGCATAATGGGAAGGGGGAAGGGAAGGGCAAGGGTATTGCCACTCATCAGGCTGCTCCTACCTTCAGGCAGGGTGTCCTCGCAATACTCTTCCAGGGAGATGTTTCCCAGATGAAGAAATTGGGAGTGAGTAGGCTTATGGGAACGAGACAGAGATGTGATTAGGAAAAAGATTTTCCTACTTTGGAGAGGGGCTGCAGGGAACATAAGTAGGACTTAGGGAGTGCCCACTCACATCAGCCAGGCTCCTGCAGCCCTGCGTTCCATCCCGAGGGCCCTGGGAGCAGAGTCTGGGAGGAGCCACGGGGTTCCTTCCAGGCATCATCTGCAACAGGTGAGATGCCAGCACTGAGCATCCCGGTTTCCCTTAGTAACCTGCTGTAGATTTGTCGGCTGTGCATTCTGCTAACCTTTTACAAGCTATTTATATCTCCAGCCTCCCGGCGTCACATGGGAATGCGGGTTTCCTCCTCTGTGTTGGGAAGGTGGATGGC